AAGCCAAAAATAAAACAAATTTGTTTCTAAATTTTTTTTATAAAAAGTAACTAAAGCTACTTTTTTTGACAAATAGCGATAGCGTTAGCGCACTACTTTTAAAAGTAGTGTTTAAAAATTCTGGTGAGCTGAGCCACTCTATAAATATTTTTTTTTTCATTCAAATAAAGATATTTTGAATATTATTTTATATAATTGGAATAATATATTCATGATCATAACTATGAGTTAATCTTAATTTAGGAACCTGGTTTCATGTGATCTGATGAATGGCCCTATTTATAAGGCACTGTCAAAGTTAGGAATAAAAAATCGATATTTTAATTTTAACATCTTAAATTTGAAAGGTATCATGATAATTCATAATTCGCTAATATTCTAATTATAATGATAAATTATTTTTATGCAAGGCCTAAATATAGTAAAATAAAGTTGATAAAAAACTGATGTTTCTGTTATTTTTACTAAATTTATAAGCCTTTATTTTTCTGGATCGCGAACCCTGAACCCAAACCCGAGGGTTCACATCACAGCCCTGATTATTGTAACCAACCATATTATTTTAATTTGTTCTTATTATACTTTACTATATTAGATAAATAAAATAGTTATTAATTTAAAGAATTAAAATAATTTTAGTCAATCAAACATGTATTAAAAATTAAAAACATTTCGCCAAAAATGAACATAAATTTAGTTTTTCTAGTGTTATAAAAATAATTCTTTATTTTAAAATAAAAAAAATAATTTTAAAAGTATTTATTAGGTATTAAATGATTTCATATTAACTAAAAAATGAACCGTAAAATGCTGAACTCATTTAAACAATTCAGGCCAGGCTTTTTTATAAATCTAGGCCGGGCCAAGCAATCGTTGAGCTCAGATTTACATAAAAAAATTCTATGAAATATATATTATAATTTATTCTATTTACTATTTTATGTAAAATATTCTTAAGGCTGTGTCCTAAATATATTGAAAAATATAACCTCAAAATTTATAAATTTTCGCAAATTAATAAAATTATGAAACATGCCTGAAATCTTTAATTATTTTTTAAACTTTTGTAAAATTTAAAATAGAAAAACGAAAAAAAAAGAAAGAAAAAAAGGAGAATAAAATACGAAAAATAACAATGCCACCAAATACTTTAATAATACTTACTAGTTTTTTTTAATATAAATCACACAAATTTATAAATTTTAAGCCTTTTATTAAAATTTATTTATATCTAGACATGTGCGCCGACAGCATTATCGGCGACGGCGTTTCTTTTTTTGAAACGATCGGCAGGCGGCGTCAAATATTTTTATTACTTAATTTTTTATTAAAATTATAAATTCATTGGAAACACTTTTAAAACAAAATTTATGCTTTATGTTTATGTTTATAACTAATTTAATGATTTTATTAAGTTATAATTATCATGTATAAATATTATTTTATTTAGATTTATAGGACATAATAATGATCTTTTAGATTTCAGAGTGAGCCCAGCTATGGAAAATACACGCTCGCTGGGTGTGCTCGTAGCTTGAACGCACAGGACCTTTCAAGCTAATATTGAAAGTTTAGGAAGATCCAATACTCTTATCTTACAAAAATCTAAGATATCTTTTATCTCTAAATTATAAGGCGAAAATAATGCATAACACTCTTTTTCTAGACTAGTAGTCTTGTTGTTCCAGATTATTGTTATGAATAGATGTTTCGTAGCCAATGACTTAACAAAATCGAATTGAAGCAACTTCCATAGTTTTACATTCGGTTAATTCGTCCGTGTAAGGCAACAGAGAGGTAGCGTGTTGAAATAAAAATTGCAAAGGAGTAATATTATATTCATTTATTATGTTTATAGATTGAAAATGTGAATCCAAAAGTGCTCCTAACACCTAAGTAAAAAAATAAAACAAAGAGAAATAATATTTTAAAAAAAAACTAATTTATGTATTTTAAAATACTACCTGAAGATCGGTTATTGGAAATCTATGATCAAATTTAGTAAGCATATTTCGTTTAAGGGATGCTATGAGAGGACTATCGCAATCTTTTACAATTAAATGATTTTTAATTTCACTACGAAATAAATAATAAGAATAAATTTATACTAACTCATTTTTGGAAGGATAAAAATTCAACAGTTTCCAAGGTTTTAAGAAAATTTAAAAGTTCATGAACCAAGTCCCATTCGGAGTTAAATAAATTAAGATCCGGTTTCTCCATTCTATTTAATAGAATATTTATAATATTCACTTTCCAGCATTATTAAAATACTATGCAATTTTAAGGTTTTATGTTTTTTCTGATATGATTTTTGATTTGCACTATCATCATCAAACCCAAAACGATCTTCATAAATAAGGATCATTATCATCCAAATCTATAATATCCGATGTAAATGATATCGATTCAAAACATTTCCTATTTTTGATATCGTTTATATTTTCAAAATCCGCTGTTTTGAATCTTAAGGCAACTATAATTTCTCTCACTTTTTAATGAGATTTTCTATTTTATTAACTTTTTTATTCCATAGACTGTCACTAGATTATGTAATCCATGTCCCAAACACAAATGATGGTCATATTCTCCTAGACCAACACTTTTCTTTACATTGGGACTTGCATCAGTAACCATTTGAATTTTCTTGCTCCCTAAACCAAATTCATTTTCAACTTTTTCAGCGGTATGCTTTTGAGTGACATGATGTGTCGCCAATGTATAAAATACTATTATCTATTTCGTGAAATGTAAAGGTAATATAATTTCGCCGTCTATATTTGTCAGTCTATATATCAAAAGTTATAGCACAAAATTTTGGACCTATATAATTTGTTGATATATGTATGCTTTCATTAATACACATCATCTAATCCACTAAGGCTAAGTGTTGTTCTATCTGGTAAATCTTTTGTATCTGAAATAATGCCATATTCCCCATAAAAATAAAAACATGATGCCTTAAAAAAATTCTAAATGTGAGATGAGATCAGTTTTATTTAAATATTCTATAAAATAATTTGATATTTTAACGGTTAAAATAAAAATTAAGATTGACCTACAAAAATTATATTTACAAATAACCTTTAGAAAATCTTGTACTATTATTTATAGAAGAGGCATTCAATCCTTGCAATACATGAGAACATAATTCCTTACCTTTTATCTTTTATAGGGTCAGTTGTATCTTTTACAATGGGTTTGAAAAATAATTTTAAATTTTGTTCAGATATTTCTTCTTTACATGATAAGTCATGTTTGTCAAGTAAATGTTTTATGTTTGGTGTGCTGATATTTTTTGAAAAAATTTGATTAAATAACTAATTAAAAATTCACAAATATTTTAAAAATAATCAAAAATTTACTCTGAAAATGAATAATTATTTTCACCCATTATCAATTGCTATTTACAAGCATATATTACAAGACTTTATCTGCAGCAACACTGGTTCTCTTATTATTTGTGCCAGTTTTAAATATTAAGGATCCAAAATGTTTCCATGCAAAAGAAGGTTTTGCTTGCAAGGATACACTGTATTTTGTTACAGGGTATTGCATTGCTGCATCTATAATTGTTTTAGTCCTGCTATGTTTATATATATACAATGGGAATAAAATAAAAATCATTAATTAAAATATCCTTTTATGATAAAAAATAAATTTTATATAAGTTGTAGATTGCATTAAAGAAATATTGTATTACTCCTTATATAATAATTGATAGTCTTATACAGTGTTGTAGCGCGCTACTTTTTTCAGTAGCGGTAGCTTTAGCTGGCTACTTTTTTTAGAAAATAGCGATAGCCGTAGCTCGCTACTAATTTAGAAAGTAGCGAAGTAGCGCGCTATTTCGCTACTTTCAATTTTACATAATATACATCTAAAAAATATTTTTTATTAAATCTAAAATTATAATCCTTTTATTTAATTTAATTTTGAAATTTATATTTAAAAATATACATTATAAATGTAGTTAGCATTATAAATCTAGTTATTAAAAATGTGTGAGATTGTTGAAGATAGCGAAATTTCTTTGGAAAATGAGAAAAATATAGATTATCCTTTCTATAATATTAATATATAGTATTAATATAAAATTCGAAATTATAAAATCTTTATTTACCATAATTTAATGCTATTTTAATATTTTATTATAAATGAATTTAAATTTCAGATAAATTTAAATTTTGAAAATTAAAAAGGTATTCTTCTTTTTTTACTAATACAATCGCTTTATATAAATTAGATTTCCAGATTTGTATGATGATGATAATGTAATAGCTGCTATCGTTCATCCTAGTTTGAAGTTAAATTGGCCATAAAATAATTTAACTGAATCTAAAGGGCAACTTGATAGGCTGATGGTAACGTTAAAAAATGCCATGCCTAACTACGATACTAAAATACTGTAGGGTCATTCCACGTCAAATCGACCAAAAAAACGCGATTTTCTGACGACCATCTTTAAAATAAACGAAACTTGGCATGATAGTTATTTATTTTGTATATTTTTGTAAATTCTAAATTTTTGAGTGCTAGCTCAACCAAATCCAAAGATATACGCCTTCAAAGTAGAGAATCGCATAATGCGTGATTTCTTAAATCTTGTTTTTCTTAAAAAATACTTAAGATAAAATTACAAATAATATATCATTTTATAGCCCTTAAAATTTTACATTGGAAAATATTAAAAAAAAATTAAAAAATTTTAAGTGTTTTTGTATTTCCGGTAAAAATAAAAAATTAACATTCCTGGGAAGGGATATTTTTTTGGTGTTGATACTCTCTAAAAATGTTTATTACCTTTATATTAAACTATTTAATGAAAAATCACGATAGCCATTTTTGTTTTTTTAATTTTATTAAAATTTTTATTATTTTTATAAATAAAAAAGGATAATATAGATGGCGTTATATTAATTTTAACAATAATATATTTAATTTAATAAAAATATGTTTTATATCGGTATTAAAATTAAAAAAAATCGATTAAATATAACCAGTATGATGTCTTGGGGCAATAAGGAAGCGGCCCATACGGATATGGTTATTAGGACGCTATATTTTAAAATAAACATATAAAATTTCATATACAAACAATTATAAAATAAAATACCTCTTGTTATTATCTTATCCCATTTTGCACTTATTAATAGAATTTCCTGAAGCGATAATTTATAGGTACGTCCTGTCACTGTTAAAGATCTACTATCGTTATTATTTGATTCATGGGCAACCATATTTTTTCCTCAATTGTGGGATAAAAGAAGGATGGTGATGGTCCATGGGGATGTAAAAAGGAAATATATATCTCCTCAGTATTTTCATTCTTTTTCAGTACTGTGGCTAACCACCAAAAATCGTCATAAACACATGTTACGAATCCTTTAATATCAGCAAAACACAAATTATCGGCAAAAGACAAATCGGCATTTGAGATATTATTAATTTGAAAGTCCTTTGCATATGAATATATTTTTGATTTAAGTTTACTTAAACTCAAAGGAAAAACAGCATGTATTTCCCGAGTTCCTGGAATGGGACGAGCTAAATTGAATTTTTCTCGTAGTTTAATCTCTTCTAAATTGTATTGTTCGTTGGTTATATACGTAAAATTTACTGATGGCATATTTTGTTTTGCAAACTGATATAAATCAACTGGTGTTAAAATGTGTCCAGAACTGGTGCGCTGAAGGCTTGAACGTGCTGCTAATCTTTTTAATGTTTCAGGCCGTGACATGGACCTTTTCCATGAGATGTAGCTGAAAAATGTCATTCAGCTGCTACACCAAAATCTGATTCATGATAACACAGATTTAAGAAATTTTTGCTGTTTTTATATTAAGCAGCCGATCCATCAGAGCAGTAATAGATTTTACATGGCTTTTTGTTAAAAAGATTGGTCAAAAATTTTATCATTTCAGTCTGGTATAAATGTACTGCAATAACATCATGTTGAAGTGACTCTGATATTACCACATAATTAAGGTTTTCTATATTGTTATTATTATTATAATATGCTATCATAGGATGGATAGTGGCCTGATTATTATTCCAGTGAAATCCTTGAACAGCGTCTTGGATTACAAAGGCATAATTTTCAGAGAAATCACAAATTATCATAAATTCATTTTGTTGTAAAAAATGTTTAAGTTTTGAAATATATGATGACTGATTGGTAGCGATAAAGGAATGACGTAACATAGGTGGAATTTTTTCTAAAAATAAAATTAAAAATTCTTGAGAAGATTTTGTTATTGTTTCCAGATTAGTTCTATCAACAGACACCCACTGTTTAAAGGATATATGATCTATGTCATTTTGGGCAAATACAACATCTAATTGTTTTCTAATTGAGAATGTGCCTGGACAATAGTTACAATCTCCTAAATAACAAATAGGGAGTGCTGGATTGCATATTGTTTGAGCTAAAATATTTTTATAGTTATGTAATGGATATTCTGGCATAGCTAATAGTTTTGCCAAATTAGCATCTTCACAAACACACACACTGTGTGTTCCACTGGCTCCAGCCAGAATACAATTTTTTGGCCATAAATCTGCAAATTTAGAAAATCCAACTTTAATTATCGGGTACCTCTCTTTAAATCGTTCATATAATTCTTTTAAATTGTATAAAATTAATCTTTTTTGAGACTGCTCTCTTTTTCCCTTGATCATTATGTATTTATAGTCTTTTTTCCCGGGCATCGCGCGACTGACTTCATCAGAAGAGTAAAATTTTTCTATAATATTCACGGTTTCTTGATCAATTGTTCGCCCAGGTTTTATATTGGGAGATGACATAAATCCTTTTAATTCTATTAGTTTTTTTGATTTTCTTACCAAGTAATTCGTGGCTTTGAACTCCATCTCAATTTTTTAGAGGTCCAAGAAGGGGGAAGTTGATATTTTTTTTCCTTAGAAATAATTGGATAATGATGTTTTAAATTTTGAAGAAGTTCGTCATTTTTATTATTTTGTATATCAAACTCAGGAAGGCTGCTTCTTAATATGTTTTGACTTATTGCTTTTGTTATTTTTTTAAGTTTTTCTTGCGGATATTTCTTTTCTTTTTTATTGGGGATTGGCCTATTTCTTCTAGCGATACATTTATTATATCCAAAGTTGAACTGGATGGGGCTAGTTCGGGCTCTTCATTTTCAGATATATCCTCAATGGATTCCATATTTATCAAATATAAGCGACATGAGTGACATAATGATTGGCCTATTGTTAATAAACCTTTGGATTTTTTAATCATCTTTGGTGTAACCTAATTTTATATATAATAAAAATAATCACGATATCCAATAATAAAAAAGATATTATATTAGTAAAAATCCAGAATCTAAAATTAAAAAGGTTTTAATCCATAATATAAATAAACTTACCTTTTGTAGATTTTTTGAAATAGACTTATGGCCTTCTCTAATGAATGGATTACTACACAATGATTTCATTATTACAATTTTTTAAATTAAAAAAAAAAATTTTTTTTAATCCTTATGTACTTTTCAATCATGATTGATAATTAAATTTCCTATTTATCGATATAAAAATTTAATAGAAAGAAAGGAATGAAAAATAAAATGATAAATCTTTAATTTCAAATAATAACGATAGTAGATCCAGAAGTGTGAAATATATACAAATTACGGCCTCAAGAATTTCTATTTAAGCGCAAAATGGATTGCGATAAATAGATATATTTTTATTAATAGCTTGAATATAATTTTAAAGTATCTTTATATGGGCCGCTTCCTCATTTATTGCCCCAGGACATCATACTGGTTATACTTAATCGATTTCTTTTGATTTTAATACCGATATAAAATATATTATTATTAAATATAATATATTATTAATAAATTTAGTATAACGCCATCTATATTATCCTTTTTTATTTACAAAAATAATAAAAATTTTAATAAAATTAAAAAAACAAAAACGCTATCGAGATTTTTCATTAAATAGTTTAATATAAAGGTAATAAACATTTTTAGAGAGTATCAACACCAAAAAAAATCCCTTCCCAGAATGTTAATTTTTATTTTTACCGGAAATACAAAAACACTTAAAATTTTTTAACTTTTTTATAATATTTTCCAATGTAAAATTTTAAGGGCTATAAAGTGATATATTATTTATAATTCTATCTTAAGTATTTTTTAAGAAAAACAAGATATAAGAAATCACGCATTATGCGATTCTCTACTTTGAAGGCGTATATCTTTGGATCTGGTTGAGCTGGAGCTCTAAAATTTGGATTTTATTAACATTTACAACATAAATAACTAACATGCCAAGTTTCATTCATTTTTGAGATGGTCGGCCGAATCACTGGTCGATTTGTCAGTAGCAAGATCGAAACCGCGGCCTTCCATAGATGATTTTTTTTGAAATAAATAATATTATTGAATCTCTAGATGCTTTTTTAAAATCTAAAAATACTCATTTAAATATTTTTATGTTTTTTTCATATAAAAAGTGTTTATTAAATTTAATACTGTGTTGCGCTCAAGTGCTAGTGCTGAACGATTATTTAGTATGGCAAAGCTTATACTTTCTGATCATCGCTCTAGATTTGGGGATGACAGTACCGAAATGTTATTATTATTAAGGTGCAATAATAAATAAATTATATATATATATATATATATGTAACAAATTTCAAGTTTTTATACCAATATTTTATTTGTGGAAATAAAGTTACGTAAAAAATATTTTAAAAAAAAATCAAAATAGCGTAAAAAGTAGCTAATAGCGCGGTACTTTTAAAAGTAGCGTTTAACAACACTGGTCTTATACAAAATATTTGAAACATCAAAAATTAAAAGAATAAAATATAAAATAATATTTAAATACCATTTCTGTAAATTACTATTCTAATCTTATCTTATCTACCACGTTGGTCACAGACTTGCCCAAAGTGAGTGAACGTTATTATATTGATTGTTACAAATCAAATGTTTTTATAGCAAACAAAATTTATTAATTTTAAAAAATAAAATAGCATTTTTTAATAATTCAAAAATATTTAATATTATTTTTCTTCTAATTACAATTCATAAATAATATAAAAAATAAATATTAATTTAATAATAAAAAATATGTATCACACCGCCATGTCGCCCATTTTTACATCGGCGTCGTCAAAAATCATCGGGGACGTCGTATTTAACCGGCGGCGCATATGTCTATTTATATCTAATATTTTAAAAAAATATTTGGAAATGATGAAAAATGATTTAGAACACTATTATATTTTAGCATTAAAAATAGCTTATGTTATTTTTTCTTCAAAATTAAATAAATTTAATTATTTATATTTTTGATATTTAGGACACAGCCTAAAGTAACAACTTTTAATGTGGGATATTTTGGCCTGAACATATATAAAGAAGTTCAGGAGCTAAACATGAAGGTAAGCGGCATATACATTTCCAAGTCCATGGTGATTTGGGAAATTTTAAGACCAAAGTATCCTTTGTAATTTTTTAAAAATTTAAGATAATATAGTCAAAATTTTTAATTTCTATGAGATTACACTCCAAATAAAAATTACCTACCAAAAAATAAAGTTTGTAAAGCCTCTCAAACATTTTTTTTTGAGTTGGCCATTTTATGGCTTAAACTTGGCCGAAGTTTTAGATGTAAAGGCTTTTGTAAATTTAAATATCTCATTGTCATTCTTTTCCAATCAATAATTAGGGGTGATTTGGAGATAACCTGAGTTAAGTCTGAAAACTGCATGAATTGAATCCGGCAAAATTGCAAAATTCAATTTTTGTTTTTACTTTTTATATTTTATAAAAAAATGCCATAAAAATGAATAAGTCTATTCATATTATGAATACATAAAATATATTTTTGTACAATTACAAATATAAGCAGTAGTTGATTTGTCTACTTCTAACAAATCTTAACTTACTAGAATTTAAGAGAATGAATATTTTAGAATAGAAAAACGTTTTGTAATACATTTTATAAGAAAAGATAGTAAAGAAGTATTCCGAATATATTTTTAAATCCAAAAGCTTAAAATTAAAAAGGCAGTAAATTAATCTTTTAAGCAGTATTAATAAATTTTTGGTCAGTTAATTACACAAAAGGGCGGTATTTTTATTATCAAAGAAATAAATAATTTTGGCAACATGAAAATGTTATATTTCAAAGTTGTTTAGTATTTAAATAAATATCTCTTTTTATTATAAATTATCATGTATAAAATTAACATATAAAATATTAAAAAATTACCAAATTTACAAATAAAATATCAAAAATGTGATTCATTAAGGAATTGCAGTTTAAATAATTTAAGAATGCCATATGATTACACATAAATAATTTAAATAAAATAGGGCAATTGCAGATTCCTATTCCCTAATCTTAATTCTTATAAAGTACCTTTAATTACCCTATTTCTTGTTTCTAATACTATAATGCTGGTGTTTAAACCCTTTATATAATGTATTTTTATCTAGCCATTTAGTTTTAAAATATTTAACAGTCAGGAACAACTGTTGCTCAGTCTTCAATAAATATTTCAGAGGCTTTATTAAAAAATGAATTGGTTTTGAGATAATTACAGATATTTTATTAGTCAGCAAAAACAAATAATAATTCTATTTCTGCAGTTTTTTTTAACATGGTTTTCCATCCTTACAAAAATACCAGGTTTATAGTAACTAGATAAATCTGAACAGCACATTTCAAAGTTAATGTTCAAAAAAATTAAAACTTAGAAAGTAAATAAAAAAACTAAAAAATTAACTGACCAAAGATTTTAAATACCTACCAAATATTTTTTTATATTGCTCATTAAATTTAAATAATGTTCATTTTGATTAATTTTACGAGCCATTTCTTATTAAAAAACTGTCTCAATAAATTTTTGTTTTTTAAATAAAATAGATTAGTTTTTAGAAAAAATTTTCAATATCAGATTGGTGAAAAAAAATTGACCTAGTTGTCTGATAAATCTAGGGTTACCAGATTTTCCTTAGTGTAAAAGAGGAATTATTTTTATTGCATTTATATAATATATCAATAATATTAAATAATTAACAATTATTTTTTACTCTATATATTTTTTATTCTTTTTTAAATTGTGCTGTTGCTTGTAAAATAATTTAGCACATTCAGATATCCTCCATAATATATTTGGCCTTTCTATAAAAATTTATAGAAATCTTGGCAAAACAAGTTAAAATTATAAATGCATATACTTGCTTTATAGATTTCATTTCACATATAATCTATTCCTCTCATTTGTCTAATAAATTGATTAGAGAAATGATTCTTTCAACATTTTCAATATGAGTTGATATACAAAAAATTATGTATACTATAATTAGCAGTTCACTATGATGTTCAAGGATTGGGAATATTTGACCCATTCATCATGAGGAAGAAGTTTTGCATATTCAATCCATCTTATTTTATTAGTAATAAACGATTTAAGGGCAATTAGTCTAACAACTTTGACTTATATAAGGAAAAATTTTTATTTTTCAAAAAATCTAGACTTTAAATCTGACTATTGAGAACATTTTTAATTATCATCCATTGAATACATTTTAAATCTTCTAGGGGTTTTGATTAAAAGTCAAAATATTAAATGCAACACCTATATATTTCAATAACTCAACTTAATCATTTTCTTTCTCAGGTGATTTAATTTTTTCATCAAACACATGCATCAGGGTATGTGCAAACCTGAGGTATGTTTTATTTAAATCATCTTCAAAAAAGATTGTGATAATTGGTGGATTGATAATTTAACTCATACATTTCAAAAAATCGACACAGGGAAATAATGAAAGCCATCATATCTTTGAGTGCTATAACTAATAACAAAACGAGAATAGATTTTAAAAAATTTAAATGAAAAACAATGATGGAAAAAAAATATAGACAAACAATGATGACGTAATTGCAAAAATACTTCTCACGTAATAAAAATAATAATTTATTTTTTATTTTTATAAAAGAAAACAGCTTAAAAAAAATTGGATGCCTGACATCTTAGAAATCTCAAAAGTGGACATGACATCTGGTAATCCTAGATATTAACCTTGAAAGTGATACCATAAATTAGCAGAGACTGCTGTGAAAAATTTAAAGAAAAAAAAATTTAACTAACAATATGTAGAAATAAACTTGATCTCCTAAAATTTAAGAAAATTTGTCATTATTATTTCCCATTTATATATTTTATAAGTTTTAGTAACATACCAGTAAAATATATTAGAGATGTACTGAATCTTCTCTCTTTGGATCTGGATGTAGGCAGTTCTTTTCTTATTAATAATTCAATATGAATATAAAAGTAATCATAAAACAAAAAGGAAGATATTTTTTTTATAAATCTGAATTTATATATTAATCCTTATATATTTTTTATTATTTTGATGAATAAATGAATAATATTGCAATTACAATATAAATTCAAAGGATATACTGCATTTACAGTTTGCAAATTTAAGCAAAGGAGGGAATGAACCAAGGACATTTGGATTATTATACATCATCTCTAAATAAATATAATATCAAATACTGTTAATAAATCATACTTATTTTTAAATGGTAATCTAATTTTAAAAAATTTTGCTACATTCTATATAAAAAAGATTGACAAAAGTTTTATAAAATATGGTGTGAAAAATTTGATTCAGTACATCTCCATTATTTTATTTTTTTAGTATTGATAGATAATTTTAATTTTTTTGATTACCATTGCATTAGATTATACTAAGGTTAGCATGTTCACTTGTCTTTTTTATATAAATTCCTAATATATAATTTGGTCAAACTTATTAATAGATATTACAAATCATAAAGAATTTGTTAATAATTAATTTGCATTTTATTTTTAAATAATCATACTTCGATGATTAATTTTATCAAATAAAAACAAATTACCTTTAATAATATCTATGCAATTTCTTTTCTTCTTATTAAAATATATTAGATAAAATCCAATACCAATCGAGGAAATTATTACACAAGTTCTTATAAATTTATATGATAAGTTCGTAGCTCTTATTATTTTTAATCTTTTTAAAAGTTGCAGCATAATAAAAACGAATAATAGGGTGTAACTAAACTGAGAATTGACAGGTAAACTGCGAATGGACAGGTATAAATTTATTTATGGCCTATCAATTATATTTAAAAATATAAATAATGTATTTGTATTATGTAAATCAAATTTATTTTCAAAATTAAAATTATCTAAATAATTATATAGAATATGGAAGAAAGAGTAGTTCATAATTTTAAAATATGTATAGAACAGATACGTTACAAAATTATAATACCCATAATAAATTTATAAAATCATATATATATTTCCGTTAGATGGCGTTCGAGACTAAAAATTTAGTTTTTAATTAAATAAAATATAAATTATAGGAGAATAATTTTTTATTTAGGATTAATTTAATTAAGGAAGAATTTAAATTAGAAGAAAAGAAAAGAAAACCTAAAACTAAAATAGGAATAAATATCAAAACAATTTCCTAGCCCAGGAAATACAAATTATAAAATTAAAAATAAATATAATTACCCCCTACTTTCGTTCTACCCCTTACCCAGGTCCGTGAAGTTGTAAGAACGATGTAAGGATCAATTAACAAAACCTATGCCATTATTTAGAGTCTTAATTGATCCTAATTGATCTTCAAACCAGACATCAGCAGAATTAAAGGTTATTGAGTTATAAGCAAAATAATGAAAGTGCGAAGATTTGCAGCTGTAAGATTGATTTGAGGATCAATTACCGAAACTATTATCATTGTATAGCCCGTTAATTGATCCTAATTGATCTTCTATCCGGAAAGCAGCGGAATAAACCGTTACTGAGTTATGAGCAAAATAAGAAAGTGTTGGCACTTTGCCAAAACCGAAAATATAAAAGATCACAATCTGAAACTTGGCAATTATTTAGGCTTTAATTTGTGCGTTAATAATATCTAAACCGGATATCGATATCACTAACCGCAACTGAGTTATGACCTGTTTTTATAGTGTGAAGTTGTAAGAATTTTTTTAAAAAGTGAGGATCAATTACCAAAATATATGCCAAAGTGTGGTGCGTTAATTGATCCTCCAGAATCTTTAAACCGCATATCAACAGAATGAACCGCTCGTGAGTTATAAGCAAAACAAAAAAGTATTGGCACTTTGCCAAAACTGCCAAAACCGAAAATAAAGAAGATCATGTTTTGAAACTTGGCAATTATGTAGTATTCAATACGTACATTAACAATCACCAAACCGGATATCGATATCACTAACCAATATTGAGTTATAACCGTTTTAAAAACGTTAAGTTGGCGGAAATATTTAAGCTGTAAGAACGATTTGAGGATCAATTACCGAAACTTATACCATTGTATAGCCCGTTAATTGATCCTAATTGATCTTCTATCCGGAAAGCAGCAGAATGAACCGTTACTGAGTTATGAGCAAATTAAGAAAGTGCTGGCACTTAGCCAAAACCGAAAATATAAAAGATCACGATCTAAAATTTGGCAATTATTTAGGCTTTAATTTGTGCGTTAATAATTTCCAAACCGGATATCGATATCACTAACCGCAACCGAGTTATGATCTGTTTTTAAAGCGTGAAGTTGTAAGAATTTTTTTAAAAAGTGAGGATCAATTACCAAAAACTATACCAAATTGTGGTGCGTTAATTGATCCTCCAGAATCTTTAAACCGCATATCAACGGAATGAACCGTTCGTGAGTTATAAGCAAAACAAAAAAGTATTGGCACTTTGCCAAAATTAAAAATTTGAGCAATCATTTTTTTAGTTGTAGCCAATATTTAGTACCTTAATTGATCCTCCGTATTCTTCAAACGGAATGTCAAAAAAATTAAAGGAAAGTGAGTTTATCAACAATAAATATTTCAAGGTCAAATTTCGACCTGACAAATTATGGATATTCATTTTTTAGTTCTCCGTTGATAACAAGAAGTTTAATAGCCGAAATTAAAATGTAAAAGTTAATAACAAAATTAATAAAAACAAATTACGGTACACTAAAACAAAATCTAGTGCAGCGACAGACATTCTATTAATTTTGCCATTATTTAATCATTGTAAATTTTTTTATGAGCTTACTAAATGTTTCAAGGTCAAATTTATTCCACTGAAATTTTATATGAACTGTCCTATTAAATTTTATCGTTTAAAAGGCCAATGATAAAGCTCGAAAGCCTATTATATTATTCTTATAAAAGTATATTCCTTTTTTATTGATAGATCTTAACTATTTTAAAAAATATTAGAAGAATGTAAGTAAACTTGAATTACAAGTAGCTATCTAGAAAAATTATGTATTATTTAATTTAGCCAAGTATATCGGCCTTTATGGCTTTTGTACTTGTCGTTATATTTTAATCTAAGTCGAAGATTTTTTATGTAATATAATAGTGAAGGAATGGTGAATAATATTATGTACGAATAGTAATATATAAATCAGAAAAAGCAACAACAGTATAATTTGTTTTAATCACGATATATATTTATAGGCGTGGGGCAGGGTTGGGCAGTATCGCGGATATTTGTATCTAAGATACAAAATGTATCTTGTATCTTTTTTAAAATTTTGGAAAGTATCTTGTATCCAGTATCTAAGATACATGTTATTTAAAAGTATTTGTATCTTAACCAACTTTGTATTCAAAAAGATACAGATACTTTAAAAAAAATTTATATTGGTTAATTTAAATAGTATTTAAATTTAAAAAGATATTGTTTAAGATTTAAATGAAAAATTTAATCAAAATTTAGATATTTTAAGATAATTTTTGATATATGACGTTGGCCTTCATATAGCAATTTGCTAACAATTAGAACTACCATATTTGAATCGTTTTATGTCTATTTTAAAATTATGGAAGAAGAAAATAGAATAATATGTTTATCTTCGTCTTCAGATGATTCTTCAACCGAAAATTATTACAATAAATTTAAACTAAGCATACTTAATGGCAAATTTTTTGAAGTACTTCAAGATGATCATAATAAAGAAATTCATCGTGACTTTGGTATTGACGAAAAAGTTATAGCAACTGTTACAGATAACGGCTCTAACTTTAAGAAAGCTTTCAAGGAGTTTGGATATTCTATGGAAGCTGTAGAGAATGACCTTGACAACAATGATGATGAATGTATAGAATTCGAAATCATTGAAAGTATTATTTAATACTTCTTTAAAATTTATTATATATTGTAAATTTAGTAAAATTTTTATTCAAATAAAATTATTATTTGTTTATTTAAGGGTCTAAAGAAGCCTCAATAACATTGCCTCAACACATTCGTTGTTTGTGCCATACGATAAGTCTAATTGCCACAACAGATGTCGAGAGAGTTATTATACTAACATTTCTAAAATTCATCATCCTGCAATAGCTAAATGTACTAAGCTATGGAATGCAAATAATAGGCCTAAAACTGCAGAACTTATCAAAGCAGTTTTAGGAAAACAATAAGTTACGCCTTGTTGCACTAGATGGAATAGTTTGTATGATAGTCTTCATAGTTTATTAAAATTTAAAAGCGAACTTCCTAAATTATGTCAAAAATTAGAATTTCCTAAATTAAGAGATATTGAAATTCAATATTTAGAAGAATATTGCAATATAATGGCCCCATTGGCTATAGCGATTGACAAAATACAGAGTGAAATCAACTGCTATTATGGAGAATCAGCTCCAATTTTAAATGTCGTTAAAAAAAATTACAAATTTAATTCAAACCAATCTACAATTTTGCAAACCATTAGCTGTTGCCATAGAAAGTTATTTAAATAAAAGATTTAAAAATATATATGATTTTGATAACAATTTTAAAAGTGCATTTTTTGGCAACTATTTCTCATCCCTATTTTAAAAATCGTTACTTTGATGGTGATAAAGAAAAAAAATACCTTCAGGATTTGTTATTACATGAAGTTTTAATTGTTTTTAAAAATAATATTGAAATTAATACTTCAACAAAATCTTCAATTGATGAAGATGATGATTACTACTGCCTTAAAAGTACCACATCCAATTCTAATAATTCAATAAATGATATTGAAATAGAGGTCCTAAATTATATGAAAGATGACAGGCGGAGTATAAATATGTTAAATAGTTATAAATATGAAATATTTATTAAATATAACACAATATTACTCTCCTCAGCCCCCGTTCAAAGATTATTTAGCTTTGCTAATATGGTTAATAGACCAAATCGTCAAAGATTGAACGAAAAATTAATAATATTAAAAAATAATGCTGATTTATGATGTTGATTTATTATTATTTACTAATTATATAATTATTAAATGGAATATCGCATTATCTTTTATAATAAATTTGTTATTTTCTACAATTTATTTAAATTTTTTTTTATAAATTTATATTATAGATAAGAAAATAAAGCTTTTATCTTATATCTTATTGGAATTTTTCAAAAGTATCTAGTATCTTGTATCTTAAATACAAAATTTTATAAAGTATCTGTATCTGTATCCGAATACAATTTTCTGAAAATTTGCCCAACCCTGGCGTGGGGGCGTTGTGTTCTAATTAATTACTGTTGTTGTGTTTAATATCATTTTTTTCTAATATTAATAAATATGCTAGAAATTATTTTTTTATTAATTATAATGTTTAATTAATTTTAAATATTAACCAGATGTGTTAATAAATCAATCTTTTTCATTAACTAAAATTCTTTTAAAAATTATAAATAAATATTCCATCCTAATTAAATTTAGTAAGATTTTTAAATTTTATTTTTTAAATTATATGGGTACATTTAGTACAGGGGAACGTTAGGACACTCTGATTATAATTTGAGCTATTATTTATAAGACTGGAAATTTGAGCTTAACATAGATAATTACGTCATACATGATTAGCTAAAAAAAATTTGAAAAATATTTAGTATTTTAATTTTTACAGAAGAAGTTTTGGCATACCAAAATTAATATAAAATATTTGCCTTTATCGTTTCAAAAATAATAATAAATAGATTTTAGGAAAGTTTAAACCTATTTCCCAATCTGGCAAAAACTTTTGGAATCAAGGTTGATATTTATAAAGTTAGTGGGCTCGGTCATAGTTGGTCATAGTATAGTTGGGATACGCCATTTTAGCTCATTTTATAATTTTATTATTAATTTAGTATTTTGAATAATGAATAATTAAATACTTATCTTTCACTATGTTTATGATTAAAAAAATTTTTTTTTGCCCCAACCATGACAGACTCTGTGTACGTTGGGACACACATATGTGATAGTTGGGACACTCGTGAAATAGAGGTCTAAATAAATTTAAAAATTTAAAATCAATAATCCAGTAAGACTAGATATGACACATATGATTTTATTGATAGTGTAATTCATAATCAATAACTATATAAAAAAAATTTTAGCAAAATTTAGCAAATTTATTTTGAGAAAAAAAAAATTATAGAATTTTTATTAATATCACTATAGCATGAATCGCAGTTTGGCGATTATTTTTAGGGGGGGGGGGTAGAAATAGATTTTTTAGGGGGATTTGCTTCCATCAAATTTGCTGCCATGTAGACAGTGTTGGGGCTGATTAGCAGGAATGCAGGAGAATAATGTTAGGAGCGACGAAATGGTTAGCTTAAAAAAGTATGATTTTGAATATATATAATTTTATTTAAATTATAAAAATAAAATACTATGTATTTTTATCTCGATTTGATTATAATAATATAACGAAGCATATGTAGTTATTAGAATGTTATACAAAATAATCAGCATGGGTAAAAAGGAATATTGTTCTGGGAGACGAATTGGTAAACTTGAAAAAAGGCCAGGATCCTTGCGAGTAGATTTAGAATTTTATTTAAATAATTAAAATATCATATATATATATATGGACTTATAAATTAGCGAACCACGTATTGTTTTTTTCTGAGCAATAAAAAATAAGCAGGAATAAAAGGGAATAATGGTAAGTGCGACGATCTAGCAAGTTGTAAAAAGGTAGGATCCTTAAGAATAGATAGATAATTTTATTAAATAATAAAAATAAAGTATTATATATATATGGGGAAAGCAAGGTAAATGAAAAAATAAAGGGAAAGGAAGAAAAAAGTAAAAGATATGGAAACTGGAATGGAGAAGGGAAAGAAAATGTAAAAGAAAAGGGAAAGGAAAAGGAAAAAGGGGGGGGGATGAGAAAGCAAAGAAAAGGTAAAGGAAAGAGAAAATAGAAAGGGAATATAAGGTAAAGAGAGAGATTAAGGAAAAGTAAAAAGGGAAAGAAAAGGGTTAAAGAAGGAAAATAGGAAATGGAAAGAAAAGAGAAAACGCGAAGGGAAAGAAAAAGGGCAAGGAAAAAAAAATGTATATATCTCCAGTTATATTCATTATTTTCATTTGATATTTTGATATAAGATAGATCTGACCTTAAGCTTGATAAAATATTTAAATATTTTTATTTTTTAAGCCTAGATTAAAGATGATGAGGATAATTATAATGTGCCAATTTTTTTTTAAAAAAGCTTAGTTTTTTTAAATTTCAAATATAAAATTTAAAAAAAAACTTATCCATCATATAATCATGATAATTCATAATATGGATCTTTATTCTTCAAAAAAAAAATTACACTAATACATTCTAATATATAAAAAATATAGAACATTGAAATATGCTAAATCTGACAGGCAAAACATTTATTACATAAAATATTAATGTGTTCTAAACATTTTATTTTAAATATTTGACAAAAATATTTTGTTTTTCTATAAGAAGTATAGTTTTAGGCATATTTTGATGGTTTATTTAGCATGTATTGCCTGAATGGGCATTTACCACGACATAGGCTTAGCCAGGGGGGAGGGGCAAGGGGAAATCCCCCCCTTCAGAAATTTATTACCTTTTGTGAATATCATTTTAAGCTAATAAAAAATATCCCCCTTAGTCCTCTCCCCAATCCCTGACCCCCCCCAAAATGTATGCATATATCTTAAACAATAATTTGAAAGAAAGAATGTAAAAGTTGATATTTTTTTTTATAAAACTATTCATCGTAATTTATAAATTTTTGGAAAATAGCATTTGTATATAAAAAAAGTGAACCAAAAATGCTTTTTAAGAAATGGAATATAAGCCAAAGATAAGTCTTAAGACAAAAGTGAAATGTATTATAATTATTAATAATAGATCCATAAAATTACTATATAATATAATATATCAAATATAATTTTTTATAAAGTGAGTAATTTAAATTTGTTTATCTAAATAAAAGTAAAATATAATTATAAAACTATTGATATAATTAAATCATAAATTAAATAAAAAAATTAAAGCACAATACAAACAGTGGAATATTATATGTCGTAGATTTACAGTATATCTAATTATCAATATGATATGATAATCAAGTAATTTTTACCAATATAGTGAATTATATATTTTACAGAAAGCTATAAAATATTGATAAGGACATCAGAAAATATGTTTTAAAGACATTGTGGGATGATGAATAATATAAATATTAATTTTTAATATGGCGTTAAATAATTGAATGTAAATTGGTAGTATATTTATTATCAAGAGCATTGATTAGTAAAATTTGTTTAAATATTAACTGTTATATATTCTCTAAGTGTCAAATATGTCTGTAAAAGTGGAATTTTACCTAGTATTTTGTAACTAATTCTATATAATAGAGGAATATCAACTATATGTCTACTTTTTAGAAATAATTTCTTATACTTGTTTGGAATAAATTATTACCATGCTTTTATATTAATTTATATACAAGTAATTTATTATATCAGATATAAACTAAAGTAAATATATTTCCTATTTGTTCCAGGCTTATTTTTTACTAAAATTAACCTCCTATCTTGTAAAATATTTTATGAGATTATATATAGACTAAGGTAACCCGGCAAAAGGCCGGCCAAAGACGGGTCTAAGACCCGCCTAAAATGAGAGGTCTGGGGGCGAAGCCCCCAGTAATTTTTACTCCCCCCCGGCCACCCTCCTTAGGTAATTCCTGGCTACGCCTATGTATAACGAAATGCTCGAAGCATTTCATCTAGGGTTGCATATTCTGATATTGTATAAGATATCTGTAGCAGTTAAACAAATTCTTGTAAAATATTTCTAATGTGAGTTGCTTTGTCTACCATTTTTCTATCTTCTCTTGTTAATATGTCATCAAATCTTATTGTATGAATTAGAAATCTGAATCTTCTGAGTGTCATTGTTGCTCTAAATATCTTAATTCTAAACCCATCAGATTTCCATAATTCACTCACCTTATATTTATCTAATTTTACAGAGAAATAGATATGATAAATAATTCCATATTTACCTAAATAATATTTAAGTTTATTGTCTGTTTCAACTAGCATATCTTCTTCTTTATCTAATTCAGATTGTGGATTATGATCACTAACATAAATAAAATCTTCTTCCTAATTATCAATTACAGTCATAATCACCTCAAATAAAATGATATTACATCTTAAATAATTTTTTATTTACTATCGGAATCTGCAAAAATCATAGTATATGATAAAAATAATATGAGAAATGAGCCAGATGGTGAAAATAAGAATAAAATAACTCCTCCAAAAAAAATGTTTAAGTTTTCATTTTCATATATCTCAATCAAAATAGAATATATTTAAATTTTGTTTTAATAAATTTTATATTATAGTAATATCTATTTATTATTTTAAAAATTAAAAAAAAAATTTCTTAAAAAATTACAAATTTATTCTGGTGGGGTCTCACAAACCCAATCAGTCACATAACCCTTATATCTTAAAAACTACTTAACCGAAATATATGAAATTTAGAATAAAGATTCTAAGATATATTTGATGAAGCAACTGAAGAATCCAGATCATAATATTTAATCGTTTTTATGTAATATCATTTCTAGCAGGCATGGGGTTTCATATACCCCACCAGAGTATTGAAGGGTTAATATATTTGCTACAGGTAAATTTTCGAAGAGAGAATTCCTTTTCCAACCCTGACAATGCCCATCGATCAAATATATAAATTTCAAAATTCAATAAAAAGTAAGAATTTCTGAAATTTCTTGGTTTTATGGATATACTATTATGACTATTATACAACACTCATAAAGTGCTTTTTACTGTTCGGTAATGGGAAAAAGAAAAAAAAAGAAAGTCGATTTAGGAGATTTTCAAAAGGTGAAATTTAAAGTTGGCAAAAAATTGAACAAAGGTATTGAAACTAAACCTTCAATACAATCTAGGAAGATAATTATAAGGGCTCAATATAAGAATACAGACATTAATAATGTAACTAATGTTTGAATAAAATTATATTCATATATAAAAATGTAGCTAATAATGGGACTATATCATAAAGATCCTATTATACATTATAAATCATTGAGTCAGATTAAACATATGGTGAAGAATAAAACTCTTAATCTTGACAGAACTAATGAAATAATTGCTGGATTAACCAAAGTAAATATTTCTTCATAAAAATCATAACTTTTTATTTAAGGCCATAATTCATGATGACCTCAATGTTTTAAACAAAAACAGAGAGGTATTGCAACTCATATATGTAAATTCTGATATGAGATTAAAGGAAATTTTATTAGATGAATGTAATATTAATACTACAATCTTGCATTTGGTTAATGCTTTAACACATTCTAACAAAATGATTAAACAAAATGCAGTCAAATTATTAGATTCACTTTTAACTTTTTTTCATAATTGTCTTGAAAATTATCATACAAAGAATTTAGATTACTTGAATTTATATCTGAAAATTTTTAACTTCTGCCATTCCATTATTAATAAAATGGTGCAAATATTAAATATTCCTGATTTTTCAAAATCTAATACAAAAATCTTTCTTTCTATTTATGAAATTAAAACACAAGGTAATTATCTTAATAATATTATTATTATTATCTTTTTAAAGTTTTCCTTTATCATAAAAAATACATATTTGAAAATATCACAATACCTCACCATGATTATTCAATTGATTCAAATATTTTGCACCCTATACAAATGTTCTTATTGTATAAAAAGATTTGTACTATAATCAATCATATCAATGAAATTTTACAAGAAAACCATATACTTTATTTTTTGGACACACTATATAATCCAAAATTTAATTTTAATGCAAAACACTTCTCTATAAATTTATATCAATATTATAGCAGCAACATTAAGAACATTTTTCATGATCAACTTTTACAAATTCATGACAATATTGTTGATTTAATATCAAAAATAATAACCTTTACAATTATTATATGGTATTACCAAATTGAAAAAGTGATACAATATAACACTAATAATAAAGATCTTGCACGATTTCCTAAAAGTAATATAACTATGATAGACAAGAGATGTTTAAATAACATCAAGGATTGCTTGTCAATAATATGCCATATTTTGAAATATTTGTTATATATGCATAACAAATATTCTATCTTAATAGATGCACCATTGGGAAACATCTACCAAATGTTGTATATAGTGTTTATTCAAGATTTTATGACCAAGTGTCCCAAGCTACTCCACAAATTTGAAGTATAATAAATAAAAACTTTTTAAATATAATGTTTTGCTTTTAATGAAAAATAATTCACCACAAATCTTTGCAAAATTTTTTTTCTTCTTTTTTTTCCCCCATTTTAACCTGCCCCAACCTATACTTTTAAAGTAATAATATGCCCCTGCCATAAGTATTTGGACTACAGCAATTTTTAAATCCAATTATGAAATTAACAAATTCTACAAAACTGTTCCTAACCTTATTTGTTGACATATATTTAAATATAAAACAGATTTCACAGTTTTAATGAAATCAATTAGTTTATACAAACATGAGGAGAATATAAAGCAAAATACTCATAATTGGGTACTAGCCTAAAAAACCATTTCTTATCTTTTATAGAGTTATTTTGGTACAAGTTTCAAAAACATTTTTAAGTTTTAAATGAATTTACAATCATAAAAAATTCACGATATCTAATTTTTATTAAATATTAGTGGGAAAGGTTGCATGTACTTGTATTTTTGGTAAAATATTTCATTTCATTTCATAATTAAAATTTAATTTAGTAATATAAATCTTTATTTTCAAATTCAACATAAAAAGTTTACCATAAGATAAAATTTTGACTATAAATAATAAAATTATACATATATAAAAATTATATACCATATCTATGTAAAATATATTAGAAAAAACAATATTGAAAAAGAAAAATAAAACTATTTAAAAAAAAATTATCTAGGTTAAGTCACCAGGGCTTAATGACCCATATATAGATATACAGTTAGATAGGAAATTTCAATTAATACTCTTTTGTCAGCCTAGAATTGGAGTGCTCCACTTGGGCAATGTTTAAAATGAGAAAATCAACATTAAAGTTTTAAAGAAAACCTTATTGATCAATTTTGACATAGCTATAACTTTGGAAAACATTAATATTTTTTAATCTAGTTTTTATTTTTATATATAATGGAAATAAATAACTTATAACTCAAAAATTTTGAAAATGTCGAGTGTTACAAGTAACCCTCCTTTGGACTATTGATTAAACAACCTTTGCCTTATTGTTTTGAATAATTTTAAAACTTGATTTCCAAATGATCTACAAGTATCTGAAACTAGTGGAATGAACAAAATACATTATTTATGTGGCTATATTTATTATCTTTATGTTTTCTCTGATGGAGTTGGCAGAAAATGATCTGGCGAAACGTATAATCTCAAGCAAGGGTATATCCTGGTTTTAGGGGACTGGTGCCATGCTATTAAGAGGTTTGATTGTCAGGGTGGAGGCCAGAGGGTTTCAGCATGTGATGAATATTAGTAATTTAAAATTAAAATAAGTTATCAGATTTTCATCAATTTTAAGCAAGGTTTAAATATACATATATTATGGTATTTTTCTTTCTTCAAAATTAGTTTACTAAAATATCTCAACAGATAACTGGTTTTATTTTAGGGAGCATTGTTATTCCATAGTTAACAAAGGGTTTTTTAAAATTTGTTTCTCCATTATAATATGAAAAGAATATATCATGCCTATGAAAGTAACCTATTACTTTCCAGACTGATTTTTATTATTTCTTTTATTTTACTATCTATTAACTTTATATTTACTTTATGAACTGATTTTATTATTTCTTTTATTTTGCATTATATTAACTTCATAGTTTCTTATATTATTTTGTTAATACTTTCTTCAATTAACTTATTGATAACTTTGATAAATGATTGTTATTATTATTTATTAACTGATTAAATAAATTGTTAAATTGAATTTTATAACATACTAGCTGATAACCTGCCAAGAATGACGGAGTTGAGGGGTAATTAGTTTGTGTATATGATACTAAATATACTTTGTTAATATATTTTATAAAAATATTAAAATTTAGGAGAAAAAGAGGTAATTTGTGAATCACACCTCATTAGATGTTCTTAATTTAAAGTATGATAACCATCTTTCTTGATGGGCAAAATGAAAAATATATAACTAAGAGTACCAGAGCTCCCATTAGTCAGCATTCGAGCCTGTCAAAAACGACGGGGAATGAGAATTTTATCCTTACTATTATGATAGTTGTTTGTTATTTGAAAATAATATCCAATTTTTATTCTTTATAACCCCCTCCTTCCCCCTTTAAGCCAGGTCCAATCCATTAAGTCTAAATGGTATGTTTTGAGTCAAAATATATTAAAGCTTTCACTTGATACCCCATAGCAATATTATTTGTTAAAATATTATTGATCACATGCCTAATTAAAATTGAAAAAATTCTCAAGCAAGGTCAAAGGCCATAATAATTTTGAACAACCCCAACTAAATATCATAATAATTTTGGTAGTTGAGAACTAGAATAAAATATGGGCTGGTGTTTTGATCAGAGCAAGCCCAGGCCTGCACAAAAAATTTGTTTTTCAATGTCTATTCCATTGTTAATAATATAATAAATTCTCAAGTGTCCAAGCTGATAATAGTTTTTCCCTAACCCTAGCCAAATATAATTTATAAAAATATATTCCAAGCCCAGCCCGACCCATTATAATTTAAAAATTTTTTTCTCAAACCTGGCCAACTTATAATAATTTTGAAATTTTTTTCCCAAGCCTGGAGCTTCCAATAAAAAAAATAAACATTGATATAATTAAATTACTTTATCAAAATATAGTTTCATATATAAGAAGAATTGTATTACAAAATTTAAGATAGGGGGGGGGCTGAGTTGGAAAGAACGTTTGCCTATGTAACGTTAAGTCTGGAGATCGAATCCCATTGATGTAAAAAAAATTTTACATTAAGGTATATAGTCTCCTTCGATTTATTAATATTAAGATGATAGGAAAGTTGATAGAAATTAACATTAAGATGATAGGAAAGTTGAAACAAAATATAAAAATAACATTAAGATGATACGAAACGTTCATTTCTTGATTACGGCGAGTATATATATTAGAATTAGATATATAGATGTGAAATTTGTTAGATACAGCAGTTAAAAATTTTAATATTAAAATAAAAAATAAAATATTCTTTTAACTTTTTTATTTATTGTCTCCCTACCTATCTTTAACAGAAAAATATCAGTATCTATAAAATTTATATTTAGTTTAATGTTAATATTTAAAAATGTAAAAAATTAATAATATCTAATATATATAAACTTCATCATCAAAATATGACGGTTTTCCTATCATCCTAAATTATTAAAATCTAAGGTGACTATTTAGCCTGATGTTAATTTTTTTGCCACTACCATTTTCATGATTTCCAGACAATTTTTATTTGCAATATAAGCATTTACTTTTTATCAGGGTTTCGAACCGTTTAGTATAACGGTTCGGTTCGTTCCGGTTTTTAGTTTAAAATTTTATAAAGATTTTGTTCCATTTTGGTTTTTTAAAAAAAAATCATATCAGTTCGGTTCGATTTATAATTTATAACGGTTCTTTTCGGTTTGTTCCGGTTTTTATAAATTTAATTTAAAAAAAAATTAATCATTAACCATCTATATATTAATTTTAGAGAAAAATCTTTTTAGTTTATAATTTCTTATTTAATTTATCCATGATAATCTAATAGATATTTTTATTAAATTTAGGAAATATAAATTAGACAAATTAGTTTTTTTTTATTTCATAAATAAATAAGATAAAAACAAAGATGCGTAAATACAATAATGAATAAAATAATATGTATACTATACTATTTAGGTTTAAAAAGAGAATTCGTACGGATAACTAAAATATTTTCTAATATTTCAGGATTTAATTTAGTTCTCTGCGCAGAGAGTATAAACTTAAGGCTTGAAAATGCTCTTTCTACGGAGACCTGCGTAGCTGAAACTGCTAGCACAGTTATAGCTAACTTATAAAGTTCTGGCATACTATTCTTTACATTTTTCCAATAATTCAAAAGATTAGTATCTTTTTCTAATCTCTCTATATTATCAAATGACCGAATTATATATTCTATTTCTATACATTTATTATAATTTTCGATGCCCTGAGAATTATTCTTATTAAGACTTTCATGCGACTTTAATAAATCTTCAAAATCATCATCTAAATTATCCTTCGAATACGAACACGTAAGCATAGTATTTAGAATTTCAATATTCTGATTATTTAGATTTTGTATCAAGTTCCAAGTTTTACAAAGATGTTTTCTGGCGATCTCTCTTTCTTCAAAAGTTAAAAATACATTATATCTAGGGTCGAGATAAATAGCAGAGCAAAAAACTTCATTTTTGAAATTTATTTCTCGTGCTTTCATCGTATAAACTAAAAGTCTTGCAAATGGAGTGTCTACTTTACTCGTTTGCATGAGACATTTGATCCACGCAGCATAAAAATCGCCCATTGTCAATTGTTCACTTTGTAAATATTTTGTCAAAACATAAGCTGGATATAAAGCTTTTAATATGTCACTAATTATTTTTCATTCATTATCTGATAGACATTTTTCGCGATCGCATTGGAGCGATATTTCTTGTCAAAAGCTTTTTAACTCTAGTAATCTCTCCAACATTAAATAGATAGAGTTCCATCTTGTGCAACAATCTATTGGTGGTTTTTTCAAATTTAATTTTTGAGAGAATAGCCATTGTTGTCTGATTTCTTATTTTTTTGCAGATGTTTCTTGCTTTATTTATAATGACAATTTCATTTGAATTTTTAATGCAATCATTAATTGCTAATTGAAATGTATGTGAAGCACATCTAATACCTATTAATATGGATCTGGCATTTGATGCAAGATTAATATTTTCAATATTAAAAGGTTCCTTATTTTCATCATGAATTATATCATTATTATTTATATCATCATTATCTATATCATTATTATTTAAATCATCATTAATTAAATAATCGTTAAAGTCATCATCTTCTTTATCGTGTAGTATTAATAGCTTAATTAACTTAATCATATTTGCTGCATTATCGGTGGTTATTGTGTAAATCTGCTCAATTTTTATTTCATATTCTTTTAGAACATCTAGAATAATTTTTTTAAGATATTCTGATGTGTGTCGTTCTTTAATCACTTTCATGCATAGAGTCCTCCCTCTATTGCACGCTATATCAATTAAAGCGAAATATTTATAATACTCATTTTTTTTTACTCTCTATATATATCTAAAGAAGGAAACGATATTTTTTCCCGAATTTTTTAAATATTTCTAAGTTTTTTGGAGTATGTTAACTAGAATACACAACGCACATATAAGGGTAAAATATTTTTATTTTAATCTTGTAAATTATATAATGTATAAAAATGATATACAAATGCAAAAAATCAGTTTTTATGAAATATAGTAAAACAATTATTTGCTGGGGTAAAACATAATGATACCCCGCATTTGTCGCACGCTACTTTTGTAATCCCCTTACATCCTGGTAATTTGCACCTGACCTTTTTGTCATTATACTTAGGCCAATGTGCAAATTGGTCTTTCCGAATTTCCGAATTTGGTAAACATTGTGCTGTACCTTTTTTACACTTTTTTATATATTCCGATTGCACCGATATTCGTTTATTACCCGTTACTGAATTAATGCTTTTATTTCCTTTGCACAATACTTCAACTGATATTTTGAGCGACTCCTGCTCTTTCCTGGGAATTTGTAACAGGTTACAATCTCTCCGGTACAATAGCCATGAATTAACAAGCATCATGTCAAATATATGAAAGGCTACTCGGTGATACCATTTTCGGGACCTGATATGAATTCTATATAATGCTAGTAGGGAATCTATAAGATCCACTCCACCCATGTTTTTATTATAATTTTTAACAATGGCTGGACATTTTACGTTAATGCTTTCCTTTTTTTTTCTATCGAATCGTTTCACGTCAGATATCGGGTGGGCCCCTATAAAGCTGCTCATTAGATAAACTGAACGATTGTCAAACCATTTGATTACAGATAATTCTACTCCATTGATCACCGTTTTTTTTTCAACAAAACTTCCTCTTCCTTTTTTTTTGATCTCTTGATCTGTCGGCAAAACACAATTTTTGAGGCGATTTGCCCTAACCGTTGATACACATTGTATTCCCCTTTGCGCTAATATAACCAGTAAGTTTATGCTAGAGAACCAATTGTCAAAGTATAACTTATAATTTTGATTCAATGGAACTGCGACAACCATGCGCAGAACTGAATTCCCACAAGCTCCTATATCTGGCATACCTTCGGCTTGGAGAATCTTCCCCATATACATTTTATAATTATAAACAATACCATCATTTCCACATAATAAAAAGAATTTAAAACCCCACTTTTTAGGCTTTTGGGGGTTGTATTGTTTCATCTTACTTTGTCCCTTGAAAGGAACAACTTGCTCATCGACGCATAGATTTTCTCCTAGTGTAATATCATTTAAAATATTTGTTGTGATCGTCAGCATAGGTCGTATTTTATGAAGAGCATCATACCCTTAAGTCCCAAAAGGACATGCTTTCGTGTTGTCATTTATGTGAAAACATGATTTTATGAACTCTCACCTTTTTACTGACATAATGTTAGCTACATTAGCGATTCTAGTATTAGCCGTCCAATATAAACGAGCTCTTGGTAGATTTATAATGCTCATATAGAACAAAATTCCTATGAATTGTTCTAATTCATCTAACAGTAAATTAAGGGGTCTGCTTATATCTTTTTGAATAGAATATAGATTTGATTGTTGAATTATTGTAGGAAGTATATTTCCCAGTAAAAATTTGAAGTAGTATATCGGATTTTTAACTTTATTGGCGAAGGGTAAACTGCCTTTCCAATCTGGGACTACTCGTGGGACATTAGTTAAAGAGGATTTCCATATATTTCGTCGTCCTGACAATCCATCATCAGGATGGCTTGAGTCAGAGTCATTGCTTTCAATATCCGAATCATCTGATTCAATTGCCCCTAAAAATATTTATTATAGCATAAGAAATACTAAATTTACCAGTATCACATGTTAAATATTCTTCATCAGACGAATCACTCAATTGAGAATCCTCACTATCTACCGGTATTCTATAATTTATATCACTAGTCATTGAGCTATAAATTTATTTGATAAAATTTTCAATAAATATTTTATTATAACAAAAATCGTCTAAATGCGCAATGTTAACCTCAGTTAACATACCATATTATTAGAAATAAAAAATGTATTTTTATGTTAAAATTTATAAAAATATAATAATTATATAAAATGATATTATTTTTACTAGATTTAAAAATATTTATAGAATTCCACTAGAATTTAAATGATTTATAACGAATCAAAATACGATAAATAAATTTAAATTTTCAAGGTAGCCATTTTATAAAAAGCGAAAAATAAATGTATAATATTTGATAGAAAAATAATGTTATGTTCATGATTGACGTCTTTATTATAAAATATATATGTGACTTAGAATATACAATGCGCGTTAGATCGTAAAATCAATTATAACAATATTTATAGCAAAATATTTAAGACGTTGCCTCAGGTTTACAAGGTGCAATAGAGGGTTTTTTATTTTTCCGTTATTTATAAATTGAATATTGATCCCCAATATGGACCTATCATATCTAGCTGCTATATCTAATTTTAACGAAATAAGTTTTTGATATACTTCCTTTTTTATATTTTCCGAAAAATCTAACGCCATTTTTTTAATATTATTGCGTATATTTTCCGAAATGATAGTTAAATTTCCACCCAATCCTATAATTATTGGATCTATAATATTTCGAAATGCTTTGTCGTCAATTGATTTTATTGGCCTACCGAACTGTTATTAGCTCGGTGCAGGAGCAGATTAAAGTTTCTCTATTTATATTGATTTGTATTGTAGTAGTGTTGGACTTAAAAGCATCTTGGATTGTATTATACTGGTTTGCAGTTTTCGTTATTTGAATTTTTTTAATAGTCAAATTTTCTTTCTTTTTTCTTAATAATTTGAATTCCCTATTGTGGAATCTTTCTATATGTCGTTCAAGATTTGCAGCATGGTCCCCAGTTAAGACCTTACCACAATCTTCTATTTTACAAATAGATTGATTTTTTATGGTATCTAATTTAAAATAGGAACGCACAGGATTTGACTTTTCCCGAACCATTTAATAGATAACTAAAAAGCTATATGATGATAGATGAAAATCTTTTATTATATAAATAGAATAAATATAAAAGCTTAATAGAAACAATTTTACCTTCATTTTTATTTTTTTAAATAACTTGGATTATAGAATTTAAATGACAATAAATAAAATGGTCAGCAATAAATATTTTAATGATGTAATAATTTTTTATTTATAAAAATCATATTTTTTTTAAAATTCAGAATTCTAATATTTATTATTAAAATAATATGTTAGTTAGCATACCATTATCATATATAAAAAAAATATTATTAAAGAATGGCATTTGTAATGAATATTTTTCTAAATCTGTATTTTTAAATAATAAAAATCTTACTTACAAAAATGAATGTAAAAGGTACTTGATTTCTATTAGATGTTATTTATTAATAATAGAATTATATAATTTTTTCCTAATTATTAGCAGGTATTATTCTAAAAGCTTATTAATATCTTATATATAAATTTGTTAATTTAGCCAAGAATAATTATGTCTGATTTTAAGATACTTATCTAAGTAACAGAGGAATTGTCTAATTTCTTATAAATTAAGTATTTAAAGAAAAAACAACAAACCTGGTATTATTTGATATATAATGTTGATAATATAAAAATATTTAATTTGATATATAATGTTGATAATATAGAAATATTTAATTTGAAAAGAAATCACCAATTTAAAAAATGCCCCCAAGGAAAATTAAAATTTTAAATTTAGGTTAATAATTTAAAATTAATTATTTTTAAAACCGTTTTGAACCGGTTTAAACCGGTTCAAAATATTTATAACGGTTCGGTCCGCTCTTTTAATATTTTTTTCATAACGGTTCGGTTAAGGTTACGGTCAGAAAATCATAACGGTTCATTCCGATTTTGCGGTTCCGTTCGGTTCGAACCCCTACTTTTTATTGTATTTAATAATATAAATTGAGGAACATAATCTTTGAGAATAAATTAAAAATAAATGGCATAAAAGAAATGAATTTTTAAAATTTATTAACACTTCAATTAATCGGAAATTTAAAAATATTATAAAATCTCATTTAAATTATTAATATTTGTATTTACAATTATAAAAATACAATTATCATGATTTTGAATATAAAATTTAATCAACCCGGGTTCAGAAAATTTCCGAATTCGGTTCGTGTTCAGGAAATTTTTCCATCCAGGTTTGTGTTCGGTTCGAAACCCTGATTTGAACGGTAAAAAACAAAATAATAATTTTTAATTTTATACAATGCGAAAACTAAATTTATATACAAAAAATTTATATTTAAAAATCAAAACTGAATTTATATTTTTAAACACATCACCTTTTAATTACATACCTTTATTGGGCCATTTATAAAAATTGTTATAGAATGACATATCCAAAAATGAGGCATTACAGATTCGATTAATAAATAGGGAGGTATGCGAGATTATATTGTTAATGCGATACCTGCACTCCTTATATAACTTTCCTTGTGGCCTCGGTAAACGCCCGGTCGATAATCATGTTACAGTCTCGGCAATAACATATCTCGTCAATAATTTTTCTCCTCCACCCTGGAATACTTTTGAAACGAAGTTCTATCATGACCTTATCAATTATTCTCTCCTCTACGACGCAAAATCAGGTTCAGATTTTCATTCTTTTATTAATTTAACCTAACGCGCGATTAATTTTGACAGAATTATATGATGAAATAATCTTATATACAGTATATTGAACAGGCTTGTTAATCAATCCTTTTAAAAGGATCGAATCACGATATTTTTAAAAAGGGTTTGTTCATAATTTTTTTTAAAAAGATTCTATAATTTGGGTTTCTTATTTTATAAAATCCTGAATTTCATAATTATATAACACTATTTGAAGTAATATCAAAGACCTGCAGGCCCGGCTATAAACCCGGCCCGGCCCCAAACCCGGATTTTTTATAAAAATTTTTACATTATGAGTTAATGGTTATAGGATTATATTATATTATAGTTATGATTAATATAATATTGGGTGATGGTTAACACTACCTAACACCCACAGATCGATCTAATTATTAATTTCCTGCAAATTTATTCAAAGTATTAATATATTTTTTTATAATTCGTATCTAAATTTTTGCAACATATTTTACCAAAACAATCAAATAAAGGAATATCTTAAATAAGCCCCAATATTCAAGTATTATTAATATATTTTTTTATAATTCATATCTAAATTTTTAGAATATATTTTACCAAAACAATCAAATAAAGGAATATCTTAAATAAGCCCCAATATTCAAGTATTATTAATATATTTTTTTATAATTCATATCTAAATTTTTAGAATATATTTTACCAAAACAATCAAATAAAGGAATATCACTTCTTAAAGTTTGTAATACCCTTCAAAGTGAAAAGGAGAAATAAAATTGATTTTACTTAATATAAAGCATTTTTTAATTAAAAAATTTGTTTTACACAAGTATCATTTTATTTCTCTTTTTCTCTGTCCCAAATTCAAGCAATTACGTATGTAGTCAGGGACAGATCGCAAAATGACGGAAAACTATATAAAAGATTATATTAAATTACAAGAGGCTCAGGAAGTAAATGAAATACCATCGACCAGTCAAATTACGACTGTTGTTAAAAAAACTGAATCGTTTTATGACAAATGGGGCGATGGTAATTCTGGTAATATGTCAATACCCGATGATGAATATTATAATTACATAAATAAAAAAATAGATGAAACATTTAAGGTGGATAATTTGTTAGAGTGGTAGGCGGCTCATCAAAGCGAATTTCCAATTTTAGCAAAATTGGCAATTCCTGCTTCAAGTGCAAGCTGTGAGCGGAATTTTTCCACTACGAGAATTCTTGAAGAAAGAAGAAGTAATCTTCAACCTGAAAAGGTAGATATGCTTCTCTTTCTTCATGATAATTTGTGAATTTTTAATATCTTTCTTGAGTATAGGGCTTCGTCAATCATGCTGGTTTTTTACTTTGCAAACTGTCAAATATTTATTATATTTACCTTGAGTCATGAAAGTTTTTAATCCAACATTTTTCATTATTTTTTTAACAATATTATATAATACAATTATCTTCTTTTGTTAAAAATTTATATTATAAAATAAATTATATTAATATTGTGCAATTAGATTATATTTTCAAAATACTATTTATTATACATGCATTTTTTTAAATAGCGATTTATTTTTATTTTATAAATTAAATAGTAAATTAAATACAATATATTATATTCTCAAAATATTTTCCATTTTTATAAATTAAATATTAGTTTTATTTTATTTAAATGCAATATAAAATATAGTATATGCACAAAATATTATTACCATTTTTATGAATATTAGTTTTATTTTTATAAATGCAATATAAAATATAGTATATGCTCAAAATATCCATTTTTATAAATAACAGTTTTATAATTTTTATAAATTCAATATAATATTCTCAAAATATTAGCTTTTTACATGTATTTTTTAAATAATAAGCGATAATACTCGCTGAAAAATATGGTAAAATACCTCATAGGTGAATTTTTGTATATATCAGGTCGAATATAATTTTAAAAAATTCCGAGCCGGGCCTGAAATTTTTAAATCCGGATCGGGCCGGTCCGTAAAAATTTTTTTAAAAAAATATCCGGGCCGGGCCTTAAATTTTTAAATCCGGGCTAGGCCGTAAAAAATTTTTTTAAAAAATATCCGGGCCGGGCCTAAAAAATTTAAAACCGAGCCGGGCCGGGCCGTGCAAATGGTACCTCTGCAGGTCTCTGAGTAATATATTAAATAAATGTTAAAATTATGTGTAATAATATATTTATATATGGGTCATTTCATTACAAATCGACCAGTGTTTTAGACGATCATCTCATAAATGAATGAAACTTGTCATGTTAGTTATAAATGTTGATAAAATCAAAATTATAGAACGTTAGCTCAGCTAGATCCAAAGATATACGCTTTCATAGTATAAAATCGCGCAATGCGTGATTTCATTAAATCTTTTTAAAAAAATACTTAAGATAGAGTTACAAATTATATATCATTTTATAGCCCTTAAAATTTTACATTTGGAAGATCAAAAAAAAATTAATAGATACTAAATCTTATTTTCAGTAAATACAAAATTAACATTGCTGAGAAGGGATTTTTTGGGGCGTTAATAAATGTTTATTACTTTTATATTAAACTATTTAATCAAAATTCTCTAGAGCCATTTTGTTTTTTAAATTTTATTAAAATTTTTATAAAGAAAAATAAATAATATAGATGGCATTATATTTGATAATCATTATAATATATTTATTAAAAATATGAATTGTATTGGTATTAAAATTAAAAAATCTATTAAGTATAAGATGTTCTGGCGATATGTAACAGGCAGCCCATACAGATATGATAACTATTAGGATCCTATTTGTATAATGAACACATTTTAAAATTTTATCTACAAACTATTATAAAAAACTAGAATTTCCTGAGGCTATAATTTGTAGACATATTCTGTTGCTGTTGTGGATCTACTACCGTTATTACTTGATGTCACTTGTGGGATAAAAGAAGGATGCGGTCGTCTCCATGGGGATGTAAAAAGGAAATATATATCTCATCAGTAATTTCTTTCTTTTTTAGTACTGTGGACCAAAAATCGTCATAAACATATGTTTAGAAAATAGACTAGTTCAGACCTTGGTCCTAAATAAAAGACCGATCATATATATTTATGACGATTTTTGGTGGTTAGCCACTGTAATAAAAAAAAATCTGTTACCAAACAATTCAAGAAAAATTTAATGGAAACATTTCCAATATTTTTTAATTCATTTGTAAATAAAATAATTTAACTTGTAAAGATTGATAAGAATATAAAATGTTATTGTAGATTTTTTGTAACTCAAATAATTTTATTTGCAAATTAAAAATTATGAAAATTTTTTCCATCAAATCTGCACAACATTCTAATAATGATAGTAGATCTCATAACAGCGACAGGACATACTCACAAATTATCGCATCAGGAAATATAAAATGGAATACAATAAAAACAATAGGCCTTTTTTAAAGTAGTTTGCATATAAAATTTTAAAATATGTTTATTTTACAATATAGCGTCTTAATTAGTCATCTGCATCGGGCCTAATTTTTCAAGCCCGGCCCGGCCCAAAATTTTTTTTAAAAAAGTTTTGTCGGCCCGGCCCGAACCCATTTAAAACAATCGATTATTTTAAATAGAATTAACCCCGAAGCCCGTTCGGGCCGGGCAGGACTCGAGCCGTATACGGACCGGGCCTAACTTTGCAGATCTCTAGTCTTAATAATAATCATATCTGTATGGACTGCCTGCTTATATATTGCCCCAGGACATCATATTGGTCATACTTAATGGATTTTTAAAATTTTAATATCAATACAATACATTTTTATTTATTAAAATAAAAAAAATGTAAATAAGACTAAAAAGCAAAAATGTCTATTGAATTTTGAATTTTTTTATATTTTCATGTAGAATTTTAAGGGCTATAAAATGATATGATATATAAATTGTAACTAACTTAAGTATTTTATTCAAAAAAGAATTTAATTATATAAAGCATTGTGCGATTTTCATTAAAGACGTATGTTTTTGAATCTAATTTAGCTAGCGTTCTAAGATTTTTATTTTACTAAAGATAACCATCATGCTAAGTTTTGTTTATTTTAGAGATGGTCACAAAAATCTCTTTTTTGGCCGATTTGACTTTATTAAAAAATTTTCGTTGAAAAAAATCATAATTTATTTAATATTTTTTTTTTCTAAATTGTATCACTTAAACAACCACCTCTGTCATTAAAAACATGGTTTTCTTGACTAAACAAGAGTATTTTCTATTGAATAAAAAAAATTATCAAGTAAATTATTTCCAATCTCATCCATATTATCATTAGAGTTTGAATCTTGATATGATCAAGTTTTCTAAATCGGTAATAATCAGTGTTGTTAAACGCTACCTTTGAAAGTAACGCATTACCGCTACCGCAATTTCTTCAAAAAGGAAGCAAGCGCGCAATTAGTTGCTTTTTTTAGAACGCTACTTTAAAATATTTTTATATCTAATCTATGTTCCACAAATAGAAAATAATCGTATAAAAATATGACTAAAAAATAAAAAATATATACTTTATTTTTCTTACATTTCGATAATAAAAAAAAATGAGAGTGGAGCCGATAAGACATTATAGGCAAAATCGATAAAAACCAGTAAAAACAAATTTTTGTACTATAGATGGCGTTATATTTTTATAAGCCTTATATTCTTACAATTATTTCTGTATAATAATTTCTCTACGACATTTCTATTCAACAGGAGAACTACTTTTATACTATGTATAAATCTATATTATATAAAATATCAACATTTTGAAAGTATTTTAATTAATAAAAATATATACATGATTAAATAAAGGAATGTAAAATATATAATAAAATACCCTAAAATTTTGTTATATGAAAATATAAAACAATTTTAACAAATCCAAAAATATAAGCAACCAAAAATTTAGTATCTAAGAATGGAATGAAATTGGATATTTTATAAGATTTAATTCAACGTCTATATAAATATTATGAAATATTCAACTATATT